ACTGAGGCCTGGGGTATGGAGGTGGGACTTGATTGTAGAACAAGTTAATGCAGAGTTGAGACTAGAACCCAGGTTATCTGACTCAATGCTCCTCAGGCTTTTGGAGCCCCAGTGTGTTCTCACTGATCTCATGAAATGATAAATGCAAGTACCGAGTGAAAGGATGCCTGGGTGGCCGTGAGGTTGGAGAAGCTGCTGCTGGGGGTAACTTGCAGGACAGCAAGAGGCAGGAGCCACCCCTTCCTACCTTCATCAGCCAACCAGAGAGTGCTGCCCTGCCCCCCACATCTGCTGGCCTCCTGATGCCACCTCTCCTCCTCCCTGGCTCAGGACACTTCCCCAGGTCCAGAGCTGGGGATGCAGCCAGCTCCTGGCCTCTAGAGCTCCCTTCAGGGCAGGCAGGTGGGCGGCAGGTGGGAGGTGAGGAAAGAGGAGTCCAGAGCCTGACCAAGGGCACTGTGGAGAAATTGGGAATGAGAGTGATCCAGTCAGGCCTCTCCAGGAGCTGTCTCTTCATAACCTACATCAAATATTTATCATATTTTCAGTCCCTGGGCCATGTACTCAGACAGCTGTTAATATAAATGAAATGGTCTGACTGGCAGCTGCCCAAGAAAAGAATTTAGTCTTTGGGGAAGGGGCAGGAGAAGTGAGTTCATATGCCTCACTGGGGTCTCCCCAAGGCTTTGGGCTTTAGCTTGTAACCTTACTACAAATCTTGCTTTAAAAGAACATTAGAGGTCACCAGGGGAAACCTCAGACCCCTTTGTTACACAGAGACCCTGATCAACTGGGGTCTGTGTTAACATACTAATAGAACAAGCTCCCAATTCTATGGCTTGTTAAAAGTTAACTCACTTTTTTCATGACACAATACTTCTGTCAGATAGGGAGGAAATGATTGCAATACCCATTTTACAGAGGAGGAAAACGACTTGTCCAGGGTCATACCATTATCAACAGGGTCAGGATTTAAACTCAGTTCTCTGAGCACTACACCACGCTGCAAGCCTAAGACAGCCAGGGTAGCTGAACTGTGGGAGCAGGAAGGTAACAAGTGTGAGCACCAGCCCTGAGGAGGGCGTTAAGCAGATGCTCACCTACTCTAGAAGTCCCTCTGAAGCTCTGGCAGGTGCTTAAAGCAGCCCTTTCTACTTGAAGGAAGCCAGGCTTCTTTGGGGGAGGGCAGTGGGGTCGGTCATCCCTCCTCTGAAGCTTTCCCCGCATCTGTTTACCCGTGAACTTGGTGTACTGTGCTGTTCCGCAGGCTGCCTGAGGTCTGGGCACACTGAATGCTTGGGCAGAGGCAATGCTCAGGCAAATCCCCTTCATACTCCGTCCCAGCCAACCCCAACCTCTTAGAGCCTTTGTCTTCCTTCAATGCTCAGCTCAGCTACCACCTCCTCTGTGAAGTCTTCCCTGATGCTCCCAGCTGACTTCTCATTTCTCAAATTTTCCTGGAGTACTGTGACTGCTCTCTTGATCCCTTCACTCCCCACCATTGCTGTACATGTTTGTACCCTCTGATAGAATGTACACTCTTACAGGCAAGGACTATGTCTGTTTTGTCTTTACGTCTCCATCCCCTAGTACTATGTTTGGCACACAAGAGGTGCATAATTAATGTTTGCTGGATCGGATGGAATCCTGTTGTAAGGTCAACAACAGCTCAGCACCAACCTCTGACCATCTCCATTGTCCTGGTTTCAGCGGTTACTAGAACCAGAGATGCAAAGGTCACAGGTCCCTGTCTGAGCATGGAACAGGGTCAGAAGTATAACATCTGCACCATTAGAGAGAGGGAGTGATCAGGATGCCAGGTCAAGTCATATCAGGAAGGCGGTGTTTAAGGATGGGACACAACGAGGGACTCAGGACACACAACTGAGTTGAATCAGAGGGGACCTGGGATAAGGTTAAGGTCTGACCTCCTAGGGGCAGGGCCCCTTGTTGGGGAGGCTTTGGGGACCTTCAGATTGGGGTTGGATTAGGCGTCTAAGGGTCCCTTCTAGCTCTGGAATTCTGAGCTTCTCAGGGAGGGATTGGGACCTGAGCTCAGGTTAGACCTGGGCAGGTCAAGGAGACCTGAGGCATGATCTGAGCTGGAGCAAGGATGGGCGAAGGCCCTTAGACTCTTGTATTTAGGTTTCCTGGATGAGAGGCTATCTATGTACAACCACTCTTCTTTAGCTTGCCCCCCAAGATTCATCCTGACTCAGCCTCAGCCAGTTGGGTTCAGGCTCAAGTCTTCATGCCCCAGAAAGTAACCCCGCAGAGTGGGATTTACAGGTTTACATTTTGCCATTGAAAAGGTGGGTTTGCCTGCAGCTTGGGGAGGTATGGACAGACTCTAGAGCCCAAAGTTGGGATGCCATTTGCACACGTATATAGTGGAAGAGATGTCCAGAGGTGTGGGGAGAAGAGGGCCTGTCCTTTTGTGATTGAAGACGGTCAGGGCTGAACTTAGGATCCTGGAAATGAGAGAAATACCCTTTGACTTCTGCCTTCAACCTTTCAGCTCTGATTATGAGAGAGCTCTTGACATTAAGCCTCCATTGGAGGCACCCTCCTCACCTTCATCTCCTGGCTCTGTCTCCAGGAGCCATCCCTTCTGCACAGGACAGCCTCTCAAATGCTTGAGGATGGCTGCCATGTTCCCAAGAGTCCTCTCTCCTTTAGACTCAACACAGTACACTAATTTCCTTCATCTGACCCTATTATAACTAGACTAAACACTTCTTGAGGGCAGGGCATGCCATCTGAACTTCAAATCTCCCTCAGTACCTAGTGTAGAATTCTCAACACAGGAAGAATTTAGTAAATGACTGGAGGAGTGGACAGATGGATGCTGGACGGATGAATGGATGGGTGGGTGGATGGAGGGATGGGTAAGTTCAAAGCCTCCTCTCCCACATCCTGGATGCTCCAGTTAATAAGCACCCATCCCCAAATGTAGTACTCTGAACCAAACATAACCCTCTAAATGGGGTCTGAACAGGCCTCTTGTCCAGAAGTTTGTCAGCAGTGTTGGAAGGCACTCCCTTTCTTAATTGGGGACTCTAAATATGATTGGAGGAATCGATGGGCTAATGAAAGCAACAGGAAGGAGACGAGGGAAGGAAGACTCCCGGGAAAGCCAGCTGGTGCACAAACCCCTTTATTTCCACTTCCTCCAGTATAAGGCCCCCCTGAGACAGATTGCACATACAGCCAGGTGTTTTCGAGCCCATAAATAGAGGACTCTTGGCATCAATGTTTAAACACCATCATGCAAGAGGAAAACACTTAAAAGGAATTTCTCTCTCAATTTCTATAACTAACTTGGAACATCTTCCACAGAAATACAGGGCCATCGGCCCAACAGGAGCTGTCCACAAATGCAGCCTGAATTCAAAGGCCCCCCTCTCCAAGCCCCACCCTGCTTCCTGGCACGTCTCCTAGTCCGTGTCTCTGTGAGGTCATTTTAATTATCGGCTGTCACAATTACTCATCTTGCTGCTTACCCAGATAGGGAGCCGCCAGCAGCCGCTGAGGCTACATTCATCATACTAAGGCACTTTTCCTGGCAGAAAAAAAAGACCCAGCACTTAAGCCCTACCACCTTGGGAAGGAGGATGGAGAAGGGGACTTTGGATTTTTTGTTGTCATTCATCTCTCTCCTCCAAACATGGCACAGGGGAGGGGTATGTGGGAAGGATTGTTTCTTCTCCTGTTCTCCAATCTTTTCCAGTGACAATCCCTTCCCACCCCCACTGCCACCCCCATTCTGCCATGGAATACAACCAGTGCGGTATGGATACAGGCACTGGTGCCAGACCCCGTCTGTGCTAAGGTTATGCATAGATCTCAGGATACTCAGCGACAGACAAGCAACAAGAGAGCTGTTGGAAGGGCCCACCAATCTTGGATTCTCGTTTGAAATCATCTTCCCAGGGAACTCAGTAGCAGCTTTCAGGGGAGCATTTGCTGGGGGGAAGGGAGCTTCATGCTAGGGTGCTCCATCTAGAAGTCAACAAAGCCGCCGTAGCCAGCATCCTTTGCTTAAGAAACTAACAATTCATAGCAACATATACAACTTTTAAAAAGCTCTGGAAGGAAAGGGGAAAGTTTGATCCATTGACCCACTGGATAGCTACTCTGAGGGACATGCCCCATCCTTGTCTCTCTTACCCCACTAAGGTAGCCAGGTCAGCTGAGCTGGGAGGACAGACAGGCAGCAGCAGCTGGAGCCATTAGCCCTAAGAAGGATGTCAGCCTCTCTCTGACTCTGCTGAGGCCTTTAGGAAGGAGAGAGGAGTGAGGAAAGCCACAGCTTCTGGGCCAGTATTTGCTTTGGGCTGACCCATTGTCTTGTGACTACAAAGCTGTATGTTATAGAAAGAGGGAGGCCCAGAGAGTTGGATGAGACTTCTGTGTGCAGCTCTGGGGATTGTGGGTCATCGTGCTACAGAAAATATCAGTTGAATTCCATTGGTTTAGCAGCAAATGGGCCCAAGATCTGCATTCAATTTATTATCAGTGAAAGGAAAAGTCAGGAGTAAACTTCCACCATATCTGTCCAAGTGTAGGACATAGTTTGGTTTATATAAAACCCGAGTGTGGCCTGTAATCCCATTATTTTTCAGTGTATGTTTATTTGGTATATATACATATGTATGTATATATGTGTCTATAATAAGTATATATGTATATAAATATACACATATACATGTATGTAAGTATACACATACATACATACATACACACACTCCTTTCTTGCGTCAGGTATATAGCTTTTCTTTTTGGTTGGCTGATATTTGGATCAATATAGAAATTTGTGTGTCCTTTCCCCACCCCCTTCAATTCTCCCCTTTCTTTCCAGGCCACTTTTCGTTTCAGAAATCCTCATGTGGGAAATGAAGGAGGGCTTCTCTCTCCAGACCCTCCTTTGTGACACTCTCGCCTCTGCTGGCTCGGAAGGGTGACCCCTCTCCCAACTCCTGCCAGCATCCTCTGCATCTTTATGAAGACTGGGAGTGGTCTTTGTGATTGAAAGAGCTCTTCTTGTCTCCTCTGAAGGCCGAGTGGGAACCTGTTTGGGCTCGAACATGTGAGTACTTGAAGGGAGGTGATCTTTCCTTCCTACAAAAGGGAACAAATCAGAGAGAAAAGCATGACCCAATGATTGAGGGCACCAGGCTGAGCTTGGAACCAGACTGAGCCTGGAACCAGACCTCTGGATTGGCTGCTAGAACAGTGTGCTGCAAGTGGGGCTGCATTCATAGATTTCTAACTCGGAAGGGTTCTGAGATGGAAGGGACCTTAGAACACAGGAAGCTGGTGCTGAGAGGGGTTTTATTGTAGGCAAGGGCACCGCCATCAATCGCCCAGGCCCTGAACCTCAATCCTCACTTGCACTTACCCCATATATTCAATGTGGCTGAGCCTTCTTACCTTCTTAGACCTCCATAGCATCTCTCATTTTTCTCCCTCCTCTCTTCTAACACTGCCACCACCCTGACATGAGCCCTCATCATCATTCTCTCACACTTTGACAAGTGAAATAACCTGGAGGTTGGTTTCCCTCCTCACTCCAGTCCATCCTGCACTTAACTGTCAAACCGATCTTCCCAAAGAGTAGATCTGATCATGCTACACTCCCTGCTCAATAAAATCCACATGGTAAACATTTCATCAATGTTGAATGAATAACCAACTTAGAAGATAGAATACAGAATGCCCAAGTTGGTAGGGACCCTAAGTCACAGAACATGAAATTTTCAGTACATTGAAATATCCATCAATCTTTCTGTCTTTTCATGCTGATCTGGGCTGGAAGAATGACTCAGTGACTTTTTATTAGATTTCCCCAGGCAAGATAAGAACTTGAACTTGTGATTGGGCTCTGATAAGAGAAGAGGGTCAGGGGAGTGGAAACTGATTGCAGTAAATCTAGAACCCTAGAGCTGAGCACACTACTTTTTCATCACCCTCTTTTTCTTTATAAAGAGGTGGTGGGAAAGCAAGAGAATGAAAAGTATGATAGACTATAGAAGAGAAATACACAATTAATGGTTACAATTGTAAATGTGAATGGCATGAATTCAATCATAAAATGGAAGAAGATAGCAGAATGGGTTAGAAAACAGAATCCAATAATATATTGTTTGCAGGAAACACATTTGAATATAAAGCTCTACACAGAGCTAAAATAAGAGACTGAAGCAAAATCTATCATGCCTCAACTGAAGTAAATATTTAGCACAACTCTGACCAATCTAATGAACAACAATTCCAGAGGTCCAGCAATAAAGCATGCTAATCACCTCTTGGCAGAAAGGTGAGGGTACAGAATGAGACATATATTTTTATGCATGGCCAATGGAAGAATTAGTTTTGCTTAACTATTGCATATGTTACAGGAATTTGTTTTTTATTTTCTCTCTTTTTTTTCCAATGGAGGAGGTGGGAAGAAGAAAAAGTTAGTGCTTGTTCACTGACAAAAAAGTAAAATTAAAGTTACATTGAAATTGTGTTACAGTTCCTGATGCTCAGAATGACCTATTAGGTTAGTCTGGGAAGCTAAGGACAACAAAAAGGTTTTGAGGGTTTTTTTTTAAATCTATATTGGGAGGGGAAAGGAGGATCAAAGGAGAGAGAAGACCTTTAAAGAGGATGGGATGATGACAACAGGAAGAAGGAAATGCTGCTCATTTTTTTCTTCTTGTTTTCTTGGTCAAGAAGGACCTTTGTGAAGGACAAAAATGAATAACAGGGGATAGCCAAGATAAGGAAGGAGATGGTGAGAAGCACCCAGATGCCCTGATGAGTTCAAGTCATCTGGCCCAGATGAGGGACATCACTGGGTTCTAAAACAAAGAGCAATGGGAAATGGGAGAGGTCCTAAGGAATGGAGAAAGAAAATTTCTTCAGAAAACTGAAGAAGACAGTGCCTGCAGACTCTGGACTGGGGAGCTCGGCTTTGGTTCTTGGGAAAACTCTAAAACAGATCATTCAAGAAAACAATTGGTAAACCTTGAGAAAGGAAGTGGGGATTGCAAAGAGCCAACAGGGCTTCCTCAGGAACAGGCCATCCCTGACTCGCCTCATTTCCTTTGGGGACAGGATTACTGAACTTTCTAGGAATGGAATGGTAGAGGCAGTTTATCTCAATTTAAGCAAAGTTTTTATAATGTATCTCAGACGATTCTTGTGTACTAGAGTGGAAGTTCCTTGAGGACAGGGACTGTTTGTTTGACTTATGTGTTTTTATCTCCAGGGCTTAGCAGAGTATCCGGCACACAGTAAGTGCTTAATAAATGCTCATTGGCTGGTTGACTATCCAATGTGGGCAAATTGGTAGTACCATTCGATGACTCAGAACTGGTTGGAAGGCTGGTGGACTCAGGATGGTTGGACTCAAAGGGTAGGTCTTAGTAATTCAGCTTCATTGTGGCAGGAGTTCCCTGGGGCTTGATGCTTGGCCCTGGGTGGCTTGACATTATTTTTTAATCAGATCCTAGAATGCACGCTCATCAAATCTGAATTTGGGTGGGAGTCTCACCTCTGATTCTTCCTCGGTTTGTTGTATTGGGCATGTTGCTTTCTGACTCTGGGCCTGAATTTCTTAATTTGAAAAATGAGGGTGATATTCAGAACATCTTTGTTCCTACTTAGCAGTGACAGATTCAGAGCTGGACACCACCCCATTTTCCAGATGAGGAACCTGAGGCCAGTTACCAACCCCAGCTGCCTTTCTCGGCACTGGCCCAGGTACTGGTGAAGATGGCCTATGCTGCTGACACAGGTGGGGTGGGGTAGTGGTTACTCTTCTCCTTGCCTCCTGGCCCAGCTCTCGGGCAGTTCCAAGGAGCTGTGGTCCCCTGGCCCTCCCCAGCCCCCCAGATGTGCCAGGCACAGGGGTTGCCATTGACATCTCATAATTATCAAGAGAGATGGGAAAAACAACAGCAGAGATGAATTCTTAGGCGAAACACATACTTATCTTTAAAAATCTGAAGTGTTCCCTGTCCTACCATATGCTTCTTGGGGGAGGGGGAAGGAAAGAGGGGACAGTCCCAGCAGAAGCCACAGGGCCAGACCCCAGCTCCACCTCCCTGCCAGCCCTGAGGGCAGTGTATGTGCTGAAGCCCAGGCCTGGGGAAAGAGCAGGGGATTCTGTCTCAGCCTCCAGAGGCAGAACTGGGGGTGGGACCTGAAGGCAGAATCATGGTCAAAGGAGGCCATGGAGTCCAACCCCTTCATTGTACTCAGGTAAACTGAGGCCCAGGGAGGGTAAAGGCAAGAACACAATAGGATTATGGATCTGGAGCCAGAAAGGTCCTGAAGAGTCATCTGTTTCAACTAATGTTACAGATGAGGAAACTGAGGCTGTTATATTTTGCTCCAGATCACACAAGGAGTCAGCAAAAGAGGGCAGATCTGAACCCAGTTCTGCTGAGCCCAGCAGCAGACCATGCTCCTATTTCCAACACTCTAACTTTTTTTTTCAAAGCCCTCTCCTCCCCAGAGCCGAGGGGGGCGGAGTAAGGGTCACTGTTCCCCTCTTCATCATCATAGTTACAACAGCAATTATCATCATGATCCCTGACACTGACAGAGCCCTTTAAGGTCTCCCCATTGGACCGTGAGCTCCCTGAGGGTAGGTCCCCAGCACTTAGCATTGGACCTGGCCCACAGGAAGGGCTTAGTAACTGAATGCTTGTTGTGATGGCCCCTCTCCTCTCAGGGCTGGCCACGCCCAGGCCGATGCCATGGGTCAGAGCAGACCAGGCTGACCCCCTCTCTACGTGCTCCCTTACCTGAGCCTGGGCATGGGAAAGGACACTTTCTCCACGATGGGGTTCAGGCGATAGTAGTCCATGAAGGTCCGAGCCACGTTCCGCCCCAGCTTCATGTCTGAGTGTTCTCTTGTTAAGGAACCTTTTAGAAAAAGAGGTTTCAAAGGAAAGGCAGAGCCGTGGACGGGGTTGGGGCTGCCCGGCCCACTGAGCATGGGCAGACTCGGGCCCAGCAGTTTGGTCTGAGCTACTGTGCCAATCACAGAATCACAGAAGCTGAGAAGTGAAACGACCCTCAGTGGTCTCTAATCCAATCATCTGCCACATCTCTGATAAGTGGTCATCCAGCCGGAGATCAAAGACCTTCCGGGAAGAAGCCCGCTCCACCTGGGAACACGTCTAACACACAGGAAGGTCCTCCCGGCATCAAACCTAAGTTGGTCCATTTTCAACTTCCTCTCTAACCCATCCCCCCCATGCCTCTGCTTCTGCCCTCTGGGGCCAAGGGAACAAGGCTATATGTCATATATACAACAATACTTTAAATACTGGAAGGCACCCTGAGCCTTCTTTTCTCTTGCTAAACATGCCCAGTTCCTTCAACCTGAGTATGTCAGGAAGGCTCAAGGCTCTTTCCCATCTTAGTTGCCTTTCTTGGGCCATCTCCAGTTTACCAACATTGTTCCTAAAACATGGCACCCACAACTGGACACACATCCTCCAGATGAGGCCTGGCCTGGGCACAGGACGGAACAACCTCCTCATCCTGAGACACTGTGACTTCCGAAATGCAGCCAGAATTGTTAGGGGGTGAGTTCCCTGTCACTGGAGGGTTTTTAGGCCTTACCCAAAGCTACTCACAGGGAAATGCATCAGATTCTGAGGATGAAGACTCTGGGATTGATGATATCCTCATTTCCTTCCCCAAACATTCTCCTCTTCTTTATCTTGGGCCTCGCTCACTCCAGGCTTAAAAGGTCTCCTAGCCACGGAAGCTGTTGCTTCTGTCTCCCCTGTATCTTAAATCTTTTTCCAAAGACAGGTTGTTTTAATTGAAAATGTTCTCTCCATCCCTCCCCCTCACTGCCCCCACTTTCCCCAACAAACAGACCCATTTGCAGTAAATAAATTTTGTGCGAGGCTTTCCAAGCTGCAGGAATAAATAACTGGGAGCTGGGAGCAGAGTGCAGTGGGGGGCAGTCACAGCCAGTATTTAGGCCCTGCTGCGAGACCATAACCTTTAGTTTTTGCACTAAGCTCAGCCAAGATGGCAACTCCCCAAAGCAGGGCTGGTTCAGGGACACTCCAGGGCTCACCCAAAAGGGGTGAGAGCCAAGATATCCAGGATTTGGGGGAGGCAGGTAGGCAGACATTCATATGGGGGGGGCACTGGGTCCCTTCTTCTGGGCTGTGGTGCAGACAGCCCTGGGCCTGGAGTCAGGGGAAATCCGGGTTTGAGTCCTGTCCACTTGCCCAGGTATCTCTGTGGCCTCAGGTGAGCCCTTGGTCTCAATGAGCCTTAGTCTCCCCATCTGCAAAATGAGGATAATCATACCAAGTAGCACACACCTCCCAGGGCCAGAGACAAGGCTATAAAGAGAACAGGAATGTGCATGTAAATGGTGGCTCCAATTAATCCAAGCCTCGGAAACAACACTGGCGTTCAAGTCTCTGAACCAGATTTCAATCCCTGGGACTGTGCCCAAGGCCCCAGTCTCCTCCTTTGTAAAATGAGGGAGGGGCTGAACTAAGTGTTCTTGAATCCCTCCTCTGCCTCAGACATTCCCTGATTCCATGATCTAGAAGTCCTAACACAGATGACAGACTGAGAGGCCACCAGGACATCAGAAGCCCTCCACTTTTACACCCTCATTGAACAGATGAGGAAACTGAGGTTCAGAGTAGGAGAAATGACTTGCCCAAGGTCACTAGGTTTCTTTCCCTCCTCCTAACCCAGTGAACCATATTTGGCTAAGATACGAGCTGGGGTAGGGGGCCGGAGCTGTTAAAGAAATAGAGAGATAGATGATAGATAGAAAGATAGATAGATAGATAGATAGAAAGACAGATGATAGAGAGATAGATACAGAAAGACAGGTAGACATTAAATAGGTTAGAGAGAGAGAGAGAGATGATAGCAATAGAAAGAGAGAGACAGGTACACAAAGACAGAGATTAGAATTAGATCATAGATAGATGGTAAATAGAAAAGTGGATGACAGAGATAGATAAGCAGATAGATAGTATTTATTAAGTGGCTACTATGTACCAGGCACTGGGCTAAGCCCTGAGGATACAAACATAAGCAAACAAGACAGTCCCTGCCCTCAAGAAGCTTACATTATTCTAAAGGGAGAAGACCACATAGAAAGGGGAGCTGGACTGCAGCAACGGCCTCCAAACTGGTCTCCCTACCTCCAGCCTCTCCCTTCTCCTACCTATCCACTCAGCTGCCCAAGTAGTTGGCCCAGTGTGGGCTCCGCCCTAGACAGGCGATTGTCCAAGCCCATTCTCTGCCTCTCCCGTGAACCCAGAGTCTCCTCAGCCTGCCGTGTGAAGCCCTCCACGACCTAGTTCCCACCTCCTTTATCTGACTCCGTCCGTCCCCAGCGTGATTTCTGTATTCCAGCCAAACTGCATCTCATCTTATCTTTCTCTTTCCCACTTCTGTGAATTGCCAACAGCATTCTCCATGCCAGCATAGGGCCTTCCTGTCCTCATCTACCCTGAATAATAAGAGTTCACCTTTGTTGAGGGCTTCAAAGGTGGCCGAGCACTTTCTTCACCCTCTAGGAGGAAGGTATGCTAGGATTAGCCCATTACAGAGAAGGAACTGGCAGCGCTCAGCTGTGAGTGGTTCGCCCAAGGTGACCCCTCTAGGATCCAGCTGAGGAGGGACTTCCAGCCAGGTCTCCCAGCTACAAGGCTAGGACTCTTTCCACTACAGAACTCATTGAGAGCCTTCTCCTTCTGATAGGCCCAGCATGGTGTCACTTCTTCCAGAAAGCTTTCCATGACCCTCAACTGGAGCAGCCCCAGAGCTTATGGATAATGAGGGGATGGGCTGGGTGGTCTCTAAGGTCCCTTTGAGTTCAAAAGCCAATCTATGACCCCCCCTCATTTTACTGATGGGGAAACTGCTGGCCGCCACCCACCAGGTGTGGATGAACTGCACAGAGCCTGGCATATAATGAGTGCTTAAAAGGTATCTATTACTGGCTGACAGCTTTGAGATCTGAGTTCCGAAAACACGGTCTCCGTAAATATTGTCTCAGCAATTTTATGCCTATGAACATTTAGACTCTGCCAAGCAGAGCAGGCAGGAGAAAGGGGCTTTAGAACAGGGAATGTCAGGTGGGAGGGGCCTTAGAACAGAGAATGTCAAAGCTGGGAGGGGCCTGAGAACAGGGGAGGTCAGAGCTGGGAGGGGCCTTAGAACAGGGGATGTACGAGCTAGGAGAGCTTTAGAGATTATGGGGGAAACTGAGGCCCAAATAGGGAATATAATTTGTCATTGTCTTCCTAATGACAAATCCAGAATTCGGTCCCCTCCACCACTTTGCCTTCTGTATGCAAACTGTTTTTTTTTAACCTAAGAACAGCCCATACACATGTTCACACGCATCACACACATACATGTGTTCACACATATACGCATGTTCATATACATGTTCATGTTCACACACCTACACACATGTGTCTGGCTCTATGACCATCTGTATAGAGGAGTTCCCTGTATGGAATCTCCCTGCACTGAGGCAGAGGGCAGCTCATTTATGTCCCTGGGACACAAAGACCTTGAGTGATTTGCTCAGGGTCACACAATCAGGATGTATCAGAAGCACGTCCTGCTGCTTCTAAAGACCAGTTCTCAAAGTACTCAGTTTTGTTACCACTCATCCATTAAGCGATTAAGTAACTAAAAACACTGTGTTTGATATAAAACAAAAGTGTGTCTGAAACAACAATAAAGGTCCTCAGCTCAGTGCCAGGCTTACAGTAGGTGCTAAATAAATGCTTATTCCCTTTCCCCTTCCCTGATCCACACAATCTCTAGACACAAGGGAGATGGCATAGTAACTATTGGCCTCTATGATTCCTCTGCTTTACGCCAGAGGGAAGCAGTGAGACCAAAAGAGGGTCACTGTACGGAAGGACTTCGGGACCACTTGGGGTCTTCAAGCAGAGGGCGGATAACAGAGCACTTGTTGGATGCGCTCCAGTGGGGGTTCCTTTCTGATATAAGTAAAAATCCCTACCTCGGGGGTCCCCTCCAGCTCTCAAATTCTGTCCCTCTGTAACATCCAGAAAAAAGTCCTGCCCCAAAGTGGCCTGGGTTGCCTGAGGAGGTAGTGAGCTCCCCATTGCTAGACATCTCCAAGAAGACTCTGGCTAACAACCCATCAGGGTGTGCTGTAGCTTTCTAGAGCCCCTTGATTCTAGGTCAGTGATATCCAGTGGGGCTGATGCCTCTGAGGCCTGCCCAGCTCTGGGCCTCAGACTCTCAGTTCCTAGACCTGCTGAGATGTATTCTCCTAGCTTTCTGCTCCCCCCAAAGCAAGAAAGTGGAAATCTCACAGGGAAGGACTCTGAGGAAAGAAGAGTGTGAGCCTAGTAAGAGTGTTGGGCTGGAAGGCTCCCTAAGGATCATTAGGTTCTCTTTATAAAGGAGGAAACTGAGGCAGATGCCTTGGCCAAGGTGACAAGGCTAAGATGGAGCACAGCTGGGCTTAAGGCCTTGGACTTAGAGCCAGGGCTCAATAGCAAGCTCGGCTTACGGGCCTGTCACCTCCTTTTGCCTGATGTCTCCTTTTCATCAATCACATTCTAGATGGGGGAAGAGGGGGCTGTCATCTGGCGCCCCATGCCCTCCCCCAGAGACAAGCCAGGGCCCTGAGCCTAGCTGGGTCTCATTACTTTACAAAGAAGCCTTTTCCTTTAGGACTGGAGATCGGTGTTCGAGGTCATTTGGGCTCTGCCGTTTATTAGTGATATGACCTTGGGCAAGGTCAAGGCCTGGGTTCCCTCCTTTGCCAAGGGATGGGGTTGGACCATTTGGTCTCAGGTTTCCCTGCCTCCTGAGTCCAGAAGACAGCCCTGGTCCACACCTGTAGCCCG